CTCGCAGGGAGAAGCACTTCCCTTCCCGGCACATGTGGAGCCCTCGTGAGACTGGACTGGCCTCCACATTTCAAAGAGCTGATATCATTCAGACCTTCTTCTCCGACCACAATGGAATTAAACTAGAAAATGAAAAATAAAAAATAAGTGGGGGAAAAAAATCAAACATTTGGAAACATAAAAACACTCTAATCAGCTCAGCAGTCAGAGAACAAATAAAAATCAGGTCCGCCCAGAGTGAGTGGTGATGAAGACGGCGACATCGTACAATGTGGGACGCAGACTTCAGCTGCTTTGAGAAAAGGCCGGGAACGAATGCGTCATGCACCCAGCTCAAGTCAGCCACAGCGAGAGCCCAGAGAGCACGGGAGGGAGGCAGGGGAAGAGCCGAGCAGAAATGCTGGAACAGAAAAAGAAAGATCAACAAAGACAATGCTGATCAGGAATGATAAAGGGACATTCCTGCAAATACAGCAGAAATGTACACGGTCCTTACCAATGCCTAAGAAAAAGTCAATACAAAAATACCTTGAGGATTTTTATGCCTATAGGAAAATAAAACTAACCCCAAAAATCAAAACACCTAAGTTAGTCCAAGAAGAAAATTAGACCTTCCCTACAGAGAACACGCCTGCCCCCGGAACAGGCAAGGACTGACCCACAGCCACTCCGAAACAGGCCCCTGTCGACGTGTCCAGAGATCAGTAGAGGAGGGGATGCCTGCCTCCCGGTTCTGGGCTCCTGACACCCGGATACAATCAGCAGTGTGAGGAGACAGAAGAGAGGGCACAGCTCAGTCTACTGACAGACGGCCCTGAACAACTCCAACCGAGCCCCCCAGAGGACATGCTAAGTAGCGGGTTATTTAGCACTGTGCAATTGTTGCAATGTTACCAGAAACCGAACAACAGAATTCACTAAGTCATCAGATTTGAGAAGAAAAGCCATGAGTCTGATGGCCCAACAAGGCCTCATGATCAGATCCCCTCACCACCAGGAGTGGAAGAGGACCTAACCCGATAATGAAAAGTTGCAACCCACGCAGCCAATGCGGCTCTCCCGTCCCACCAGCGGCTCGGCCAGGACGCCTTCGGTGGTTCCTGCTTCCACTCAGCATGTCCTGCACTCCGGCTCCACACACAGGCTGCCAAGATGGGCAGGCGCTGGAGCAGGGCCATGGAGGTGGGTGCCACTGCGCGGGTGAGAAGACAATTCCACGAGTGCGCCCGCATGCGGAGGCGTATCTGCCCGAGCCCCTCCTGAGTCGCCTGGACAGAGAGCTGGCAGCTGGTCAGGCATGAGAGGCTGACCGCCACTGTCCCCCACCCTTCTCTCCTGTGAACTTCGCCCCCGAGCCACCAGCGTTCTCACCCCCCCACGGCAGCATCGCTACCTGGCAGGGGCTGAGGTACCCAGTGCTGCCCAGGGCTCAGCTATGAGACTCCCCACCTGCCACCCTCGCAGCTCCTCCTGGAAATGCAGCAGCAGCAGCAGCAGCAGCAGCGAGGCCAGGGCTGGCGGCTCACAGCTCCCCGTGGCGTGAGAAGAGGCAATGAAGTTTCATGGGGACCTACACGGGGAGAGGCTGTCCCGTGCTGGGTGTGTTCTCAGCAAGAGGAGTACTGTCGGGTGTTCACGGTGAACATGGCCAGAGCCCCCTCCCACCGTGTTCCTGAGACGCGTACAACCGGCCGGGTGGTGCCACAGCTCTTTTCTCCAGTTATAAAGTCAGGAGGAACATGCTCCGTCAGGGTCCTGTGGGCGCCCCGAACCTGCCCCACATGCCCTGCTGCCAACACTTCGGAGGGAAGCCCCCGCAGGGCCGAGGAGAGGGAGGGCAGTGGCCACGCAGCAGGGACACCTGGCCAGCCTCAGGCACAGTGAGGGGGGCGTGCGGTTAGTCTGCTTCCCAGTCCTGGCTGGCTGGGGTGGGGGGGCCTCATTATTATTTAAAGGCCTAAAAATATTGCTGGCCGTAAATCAGCCCCTGCTTCAAGGCCGTGGGCCCTGCCCCAAGTGTGGGAAGAAGGAGCAGGTCTGTGCACCACCTGTGTCTGACGACAGAGGCCCGAGCTCCTGGTGGCGCCCTGGAAAGCCACCTTGGGAAGGCAGGTGAGCAGCCTGGCGTCACGGCGCGTCCTCAAGGCTGCAGCATCCTGATGCAGGTGACTGAGGACTCCTGGCCACTACCCCAGCCCTGGCCAAACCTGTCCTGGACCAGGCCCCTCCGGGGAGGATCCCTGGCCACCAGTGGCTCTCGCAGCGCATGACCTCAGGTGCCAGGAATGTGCACGCGGCGCGGCCGCCATCTGGTTCCCATTACCCACGCTCTGCTGCGGGAAACCTCATCTGCGTCTCCGCGCCCAGCGCCCGCCTGGGAGAGATTGATTTGGGCTCATTAGAGACTTCAGCAGCAGGCCGAAAGGTGAGGCACATCTGTGCCCACGTGGCAGGGCCGGGCACAGCGCCCCAAGGGCCCCGGGGCAAGGACGCCTGTGGATGACGAGGGCCTGGGGGCCCCCAGATGCTTCCTGCGCTGCCCAGCCCCAAAGTCTCCAGGGCCTCTGGGCCGAACCAACTTTGAAGGTGATGCCCAGCTGTCCTTGGGTGCGGTGGCGTGCTCAGCGGGAGGAGCCCTCTCCGGCTGAGCGAGGCCCCGGCCCAGGCACCGCCATCACGCCAACGACAGCCATCCTGCAGAGCCTGCTCACCGTCTGCTGGAACTTTCCAATTCATTAATAATGCCCTCTGCTTTAACTTTTCAATTCATCAGTACAGTAAAAGTTCATCTCTGGACTGCAACATGCCCCATAAATTTAAGTCTTAAGTTCCAGCAGCTGTTTCTCGAGGGAGCCAGGAGAGACCAGGCAGATCTGAGCCAGGAGGGCCCGTTCCCGGGACCCGGGAGCACTGCAGCCTGGGCAGGGTCCTCAGGGAAGCTGCCTGAGTGGTCAGCTCTTGGAGAAGTCAGGCTGATGAAGTTCAAGGCGCAGTGGGGTGGAGCACTGGATTCCATAGTGAGTGGGTCTCTACAGGCTTGAGGAGCCAGAGGGGAGGGTGTGAGGGAGAACCCTGCTGCCCATGGAGGTGGGGAGGGCTCAGTCCTCAGCAAGGCTGACTCAACTGCTGAGGACCCAGCGCGTGGAGATGGAGCACCGGAGTGGCTCCGCTTCCTTCTGAAGACGGCCGCCATCGTTATGACCTTCACTCCCACCCCCGGCAGGTCCACAAGGGCCCTTCTCCAGGATGAAGGCACTCGAAGCTCAGCCCCCACTGCCTGGCCTGGCCCCACTGGCAGGCCTGTCTGACCCCCTTCCTTCAGGGCCTTGTGGCTCTCTGGGATGACAGAAGGATGGAGGGATGGTTGGACATTGGGAAGGGTGATGCCAAGGAAGTGTGAACATGTGCCCTGTCCCCAAACATGACCTGTGACCCCTCCTTCTCCTGTCTTGCTGGGCTCCGGCCGCTGCTCCTTATGACTCACAGGGCTCGAGACAGACCATCAGACCCCACCTGCAGAGTCACGGGGCAGCCTCACACCTGGGCAGTTGGCATGGTCCTACCCCTGCTGCCACCCACCACCTGCTCTGGTTCTAACCTTGGTTCCCCAGCAGGACTATTCTTTCTGGGATGCCAGTGGCCCCTTCAGCTGTAGCATGGGAGGCACCTCCCAGTCTCTCTACCCAACCTCAGTGTCTATCCTCAGACTTTTGCATCACTGCTCTCTTGGACACCCCCGCCTGTCCTGGCTGTCCTCGCTGTCCTCTTGGGGTGACCTGGTGACAATGTCACACCCCCAGGTTACAGCCAGTGCGTGGTGATGCCTGCTGGGTGTCACAGTGTGTTCTGATTTTCACCTGGGGCCCATCCCTCCCCCACCCCACCCATGTGTCTGAGGGGCCCAAGGGTGCCTCTTCCCCTTGCTGTGGGGTCCAGTCTGGGCAACTATAAGGCAGGCTTGGTAGGCTGCTGGGCAAGGCTCCCCACCTGGAGAGGGGCCCCGAAAGACACCTCTTCTCTGCCCTCCCATCTCTGGTGGGAAACTGGACCACAGCCTTGCCGAGACAGCCCAGGACCTGCCCTGCAGCAGCCAGTGATGAAAGCCCAGTGAGGTCAGGAGCTGGGCTGCTGCTGCTACTGGCACCACCTGGAGTCCTGCTCCCCCCAGACCTGGGTTCAGACTCCCTGGCTAATGGGGGCTCCTCGCCCACCCCCAGAAGCCAATGTGCACCTAGGTGACCCTCTGGGGGCCAGGAGGTATAGGACACACCCAGCAGCATCTCCTCCCCCATGGCCTGTAGCTCCTGGGACCTGCACCAGAGTGAGGCCTGGGTAGGAGGACTCCCACCCCCAAACTCCATCCCTCCCATCCCAAACAGGGCTGAGCAAGTAGACTAGGCCAACCCATGCGGAGCACCAGGCACAGCCCAGACGGGGCCCCCAGGTACTCTGTGAGGCCGGCTGGATGGAAAAGTCCACTGGGACGTTGTGAGGGTCACTGGGACGTTAGGGGGAGGCTTTCAGCAACGCCCCACTCCACCCTGAGGCCTCACACCCCCTCCCCGCTGCCCGTGAGGAACGGCCTCCCTGGGGCCGGCTTGCAGACCGCCACCCGGGCGTGACTCCGTGGATTTCTCCACATTGGGCTATTTTTGTTTTTTGATTAATCAGTTCCTTGCTGACCAAATTCCTCTGAGTTTTTGCAAATGGGCTGGCGCACTTACTCCTGGACTCTACATGCCTTTTCTCTAGATGGACAAGACGTGACTGCTATTAACCCAGGGTCTGAGAGAAACCCAAACCATGTGAACGGTTCACAAACGCCCACGCCCCCTTCTTCCTGCGCGGGCCCCACAGACAGGCCCGCCTGCACCCCGCCTCGGAGTGATTAATTAGCCAGCGATCTGCAACAACTCCTCTTCATGCCTAAATATTGTTTCAGCCTATCAGACTGTTAGTGCAGAGCAGGATAAATGACACCTCGGGTCTGGCGCACTGACCTGCAGGGCCTGCTGCTCATCCAGGCTCCAGACAGCCAGCGCCTTCTCCGCGGAGCCCGAGACGCCCCTGGCCTTCTGGGAGTCAAAGTCAAGGCCCATGACGGGCTCTGTGTGGCAGGCGATTCGGCTGCACACCTTCCGCTCCGAGACATCCCACAGGGCCACCGATCCATCCTCATAGCCAGCCAGGAGGCACGGGCGGGGGCTGGAGTCAGTCTGCGGGGAACAGGACAGCAGTCAGCTCCTGAGGGGTCCTGGTGCGTCTTTGGGGACAAGGGACTCTAGAAATGGGCCGTCTCTCCTGCTGGCCTGGGGGTGGCCCAGCCAGGAGCTGTTTCCCGTGGTCTTCACACGGCAGTGACAGTGTCGAGGTTCCACACATCCTGATGGCTGATACCACTGGTACAGGACTTGCGCGGGCTGGTGTTGGGGAACCCCAGGGACCGGGACAGGAGGGCACAGAGCTTAGCACGCCCCCATCTAACACTGCCGTGCCGCTGTTTGCCAGCCGGGTCCTGCTAGGATCACAGGGTCCTTTCCGCAGGCCTGAGACTCCCAACAACCCCTGGGCGGAGCCAGTCACCTGTCTACAACCACCAACCAAAGAAAATTGTGAGCTCTTTGTCAATGAAAAATGAACTTTCTGTGCTTTGTCAACGTCGCTGCGGAAGCCCCCCCAATCCCGAGGCTGGGTGAGCCGCGGCGGCGCTGAGCTATTGTGATAAATGAGGGCACAGGTCAGAGGGCCCGCGCCCTGGGCAGACGCCTCGTTTATCTCGCCTCTGCATCGGCTCCAGAGAGCACTGCAGAACTCCAAGTCACCCTGGCACCGCGAGTGGCACACCAGGCACTACCAACAGGAAACGCCTCCAGGACAGGTGCCCAGGTGGCTTCCGGGACAGAGGACACTCTGGCCGATGCCTTGTCTCTTCACTTGTCTCAGCAGCCCCCACCGAATGGCCTGGGCTTGGCCCCACTTGAGTGTGAGAAATCAGAGCACATCCCCTCCAGCTCTGACCCGGCCTGGCCTTCAGCCCTGATGGTCAACGGTGAGAAACAGGGGCTGGTCAGCGAGGCTGCCTCCTGGGTCACCTGTACCTCTGGGTTCTGAGCACCTCAACTAGTTCAGGGGCTACAGGCCACTGACAGGGCAGCCAGAGCAGGCAGACTGGCCTGCAGGGGCTCACCCAGCAGTTGCCAAGGGGGCCAAATGCTGAGTTCCAGCCTCTACTCCCCACCTGCCCTGCAGGCCTCTCCAGCTTCTTTCCCAGCATGCAGGGCTCCTGTGGGCCCCCCAGTGACAGACTGCCGGCAGGACACACCCACAGTGCCAAGCTGACCTCCCTGGGCTGAGGACCTGAAGTTACTGTGAGGCTTTGCTCCGTGACCCCTGGCCCGGAGGGACCCCAGCAGGCAGGCCCTGTCCACGACACCTCGAGGTCCTGCGGGGAGCCCCCAGCTCGGGTGGGGCCCATTGCTCTGAAGGCTGGTGTGAATAACTCTGCATGAGGCTTGATTCCGATTCTGACATTTTACGTGATAATCACCATAGCAACTCAGGTCAGCCTCCTTGAGGAACAAATCGAGACTACATCTGAAAACTTCAGAGAAAAATGCCACTTCAGGCCATGCTGCCACACTCAGACAATAAACTGGAGCCTGGGCCTTCAGGTTTGGAGAGAAAAAGGGACGTTTAAGATGAACATAGAGTTTTCTTTTGTGTTGGATCCATATCAACTAACAAAAATGTGATTTGTCCTTCTGTCAACTATATTAATTACCTTAACAAGTTTGTACATCCCATTTCTACACATTTTTCTGCTGGAATTTTTACACGATTACGCAATGACAGCATTTCCAGGGAGTGGAGTGTGAGCGGATGTAGCCCCTGACGCCCTGCCCGGGGCCTGTGAGCGCCACATCACGCCCCGCAGCATCATGGCCTCGGGGGTATTTCCCACCAAGCGTCTGCCACGAACCTGCTGGCGCCAGGAGCTTTGTCACCCAGACGAGCGAGCCTTGGAGCCTCACCTCCTCACCCGGGATCCGGAATTCCAACTGGAAAGTCATCGGTTAAGAAACTACAGGAGGAAACCAACTGCTAGAAAGGCCAGGGAATCTTTCTGGTCCTGAGAGGGGCAAACGGCTTGGGGCAAGGTCTCTGGGGATGCTTGTCCCGTGAATCCTATTGGACACGCAATCATCTCCACGCTGCCTGAGCCCATCGGTAGAACCCTCCGGAAGAGTCCAAACAGGCATTGAGGCACACGGGTGGCCCTCAGAAGGTGCCGGTGAACTGAAAACAGCTGAGAAAATGGCCTGAGCAGTACTCCTGAGATGGACACTGCTCAGTGACCTGCTTCCCACAGTCTCTGCAACGACCAAGATGCTACCCGGGATTCCTTCTAAGTGAACACACCAACCATTTGCTTTGCTGGGCCAAACACGAGTGACCCAAGGCATGGGTATGCCTACTGGGAGCCAGTGTTGACCTCTGACCTTTGGGGGACTGTGCCTCAAGGAAAGCCAGGGCCTCTGGTGAAGGTGGGCAGGCCCCGGGGAGGGGAGGGGAGGGTGGGGAGAGAGAAAAGGAGACCCACCCTGGGAGGGGGCCAGCTCAGCTGACCCAGCTGTCCCCCCTCACTACACTGGCAGGGGGTGCCCCCTACCCACAGCCCAGCCTGCAGAGGAGAGCAGAAGCCCTGTGGCAGTTTGCAGGGGCATCCCTCGAAGCAGCAGGAGGGCGGCAGGGGCTGTCGGGGACGGAGGCTGTGGTGGAAGCAGCGTGCACAGGTTCTCCCGAGGGGCTAATTGCCCTGTTGGTTTGACGACCAACCGAATCCTGAATGGGGCATGATTCACGGCCCGGCGGGCGTGGCTGACAGGGCGTGGCTGGCGTGCACTGGGCCTTACCTGCCACAGCTCCAGGCACATGGGCATGCCTGGCTTGGCATCTGCCTCTGGCTTCAGGGTGCACACTGACGTCTTGGATGGCATCTCCAGAATCTGAATCTGACAGTAAGAAAACAAGTTGATTTGGGCCGGCGCCAAGTCGAGTCTGTTCTATACAAACAAGAGACTTTTAAGGCGATTAGCTAAGGCTGCTGCGAGTTTCTGTCTGCTCCCAGTAGGAACCTGGGAGCCCAGCCTAATTAGGCCGCACAGGCTCGTGGGCTTGAGTGCTACGTACGAGCCTTGTGAAACAACGTGCGTGGCATCATTCCTGAGCGACCGTGGGCACGTCCCTCGAGTAGCATTCTACCCAGGGCAGCCTCCGGCCTCTCCCCAGTTCTACCTCCTTGCCGAGCAGGAGGCCTGGCTCACCCAGCACTGCTCGGGGCGGCCACTCTCCTGGCCTCTGCCTGCTTCCCTTTCCTGCTGTGGGTTTTATGGGAATGACTCTGCACTCTCAGCATATCTGATGGTACAGACTTGCGCAGGGACCACTTGGGGACCCGCCACCCAGCCTAGGAAATAACCATGATGTGCACCAGGGGAAGCTCTGTGTAGAGCCTGGCTCAGTGCCCGTACCTCGACCCTGGGTGTCGTGGCTGCATTTTGTGTCACCTAGGCTGGCAGATGTGCCTCGCTGCCCCGCACAGACAGCTCAGACTCGGGCTTGTCCACTGAGTTGGGCCAGGCTCTGTCCCGCATTGTCGGCAGGGGACAGCCAAAGCCAAAGGAGCAGGCTCAGGAGCTGGAGCCCCATAGACCGGAACTGGGCTCCCAGACATCTGCACCCCTCATGCCTCAGCTCCCTCATCTGCCAAGCAGGGATTAGGGTGCCACTCCTGCAGGGCCACTGCTCCATGTTTGGGGGGTTCAGCCAGCCCTTAGCTCCCCATGCCCTGGTGAGAGCAGCTCCACCAACACCACAGCAACAATGGGCAGCCACTGTGGAGCCGCACGTCACGCCCCGCCCACACGGAGGCAGGCTCTGGTTTGCAGACAGGAGTGTGAGTTCAGAGGAGTCGAGGACGCTGAGGGGACAGCTGGCCCAGAACACAGAACCGCTAGCGGGGAGAACCAGGGTGAACTCGAGTTGTGCAAGCATGGCTGAGCTCTCGCTAACACGCACAGGAGAAGGGCCCAGGCCCCAGAGTTAAGTCCCGAGTCCGAGTTCCAGTTCTGCCACGTGTGTGCTGGTGCCATGCCCGAGGGTGTCGTGGCCTGGTCCTCTCAGCTTCGAGGCCCTGCAATGCGCCCCACGCCTGCCTCTACGCTCGGGCGGCACGTCCACAAGCTGGGGCTGTGGGTGTGCTCTGGGCAGGGCTCTCAACGGAAGCCTGCAAAGCGTCCTCACCCAGCACTGGTAGGAAGGGTGAGTGCTGGGGCCCCTGCCGGGTGTGAACACGCACACACACACACGCACACACACACTCACACACACACACACACACACACGCACACACACACGCACACACACACTCACACACGCACACACACAGGCTCTGCACCAGGTGGATCGGCCCTCACTGCCCACGAAGGAGACAGAAAAGAACAGAAGTGACATGAACTGTGTTACGGTCATGAAATAAAGGGTGGCCAGAAAGAGGACCCTGGAGCAGCCAAGAGGCCCAAGGAGGAGCTCTAGCAAAATGAAAAGAAATATAAGAAAGACGATGAGTGATAACCAAGACCCAGTGTGTGAGCCCGAAGTAAAAAGAAAACCGCGGAGAAAGGAGAGAGGGCTCTTGCAGCCCTTCTGTCTCTGTAGTGAGTGATACCAACTCAGGGACAGGCTCATCCCCAGCAACAGAGCACCCGGCCAGGATGGCTCACCCAGGGCGGTGAGAGATGCTCTGCTCCGTCCCCACGCCTTGCGCACCCAACACCGCACAGTGCAAAGCCGCAGGCTGTGGCCGAATGGCACGGCCCCCTTGGCTGCTTCAGCGTCCCGGTGAGCCGGCCCACACTGCGCGGTGAGGCGTGGCCTGGAGAGACACTGACCACGCTGCTGGGGGCAGGGAACGTGATTTCCTACTCTGTGCACTGTTCTATTTCCTGAATTATTCAGATTTCTTAAAATGAGATTTGTTCCTCTTGTCACTATATCGGGAGGACAGGCTGGTTTCAAGATGCTGAGTGGCTGGAGGGGGAGGAGCAGCCACAGGGGGAGGAATGTTGGAGGGAGCAGATGTCGCTGGACATGGTCTGCACAGGTCCACACCTTGCATGGCCGGGCACACAGGCCCACGGTCAGTGAGGGATGGCCCATCCTGGTCTTTGGGCTCAGGAAGACCCACATGGGCTTGGGAGTCACCCAGGAAGTCTGCTCTGGTCAGGAGGGGAGGGGCTCAGGGGGAAACGTGGCAGCCCCGAGGCCTGAGCTGGGCGCCGTGGGAGGGAGCGCGGGGAAGGGAGAGCAAGGAGCCGTGGCCCAAGGACCAGGGCAGCCCCGTGGCCTGTGCCCAGAGCCTCCTGCAGACACTGGAGTGCTTTCCATCTGGCACTCAACGCACCTTTTATTTCCAGAAGGAAAAATGTTGGTTTGAGCAAGTGTGGCCACCCAGACGGCCAAGTGGGGCAGGGGCACGTCCTCCCCCGGCATCGTCTGGGCACAGGCCAGCGATGCTTTTCCAGGGCCTCGTCCAGGCAGATTCCAGGTGGGAACATGGAAAATAACTATTTTCCCAGGATGTGCCAGGTCCCTGGACTGGCTGCTCCTGAAAAACACAGATGCTGCCAGAGCTGGGAGCCAGGAGGTGGGTTCAAACAGCCTCAAGCAGAAGGCACGAGTGGTCTTACGGACCAGGCCCGGGAGAGGAGGGTGAGGGGTGGAGGGTGAGGGCAGGAGGAGGGACGACAGCAGCCAGAAGTCCCGGGGTGGCCGAGGTGGAAGCCAGCACACAGCACCCTGGCCCCGGCGGGAGCTGGCTCGGCCCTGGGCCGTCTCTGCGTGCAGGGGGAAGGCTGGCTGCCCGGCTCCTGCCCTCCCGAAGGAAACACACCTCTCTCTTTTCACATTAATAAAACTTTTAACAGGTTTTTGGCAAATTGGCAAGAAAAGTGTATGTAGCTCTAATTGGTGATTTAAATGCCATCATGAACAAATAAATGCCTGTTCCTATCTCATTATTTATGAACTGAACCTGCTTGAAGACAAACGGCTCTTCTTGGGCGGGGGCCAAGCCTCCCGTGTGCACAGGCCTCAGGTCCCGGCCCAGCGCTGCCAGCCGAGCAGACTCCCTGGGAGAACACGGGAGTGGGCGGCAGGCAGAGGCTCCCACTCCCTCCCCGCCACCCCCTCCACCCCAGGCGGGACCCCACCTCTCCTCCATCCAATCACCACTCGTGGTTTCTTCCCCATTTCCCTTCAGCTCCCTCACAGCCACACCCTCCTCCTCTCCCAGGCTTCCCGATCTGCCCCACGTGCTGGGCGCTGCTTCCCGTGGGGGATTCTGCCTCTTCTGTCCCCGGGCTGTGGACACCACTGTGCAGCCCGAGCAGTCCTTGCCACCACCAACCACTGCTGGCCGCTCTGGCATGAGCGCCATCTGACAGTGACCTCTGAGCTCTGTCACACCCACCCCACCCTCCAGCCCCATCCTCTGACGCTCCCCTAATCATCTGTGTCCCTCCACACTGCAATCACCACCCAGTGCCAGCCCTTACCCCCAGACCCAACCCTACCTGAGGCCTCTCACGCCAAGGCCTGGTTCTGCTCCCCAAAGGCTGCCCCTCCCCTGCTGCCCTGGCTCCCAGGCCCATTGCAACTTCACCAGGGCCTTGGTCTGCCTTCCACCACCTGCTGCTGGTCTGCTGGGGACTTCCCTGCACACATGCCTGCTCCTAGGTCCGCTGAGGACCTGTCTGGGTGTCTCCCCAGAACTCCTGATGGCCTCAGGCCTTGCCACTCGTCCATCTGCAGCGTGCTGGGTGCCTGGTCCTCCCAGAGACACCGGTCACCCCTGTGGGCCTCCTTCCTGACTTTCACCACCAGGAACATCTCACAGGTGACCAGACGAAGGCCCATCCCAAGGCCCCTGGAGCTGCACTCAGCAGACAGACCCAGACCTCCCACAGCTCCCCGGGTCCTGCGGAGAGCAGTGTTCCTGCAACCCAATGCTAAGGATGCTCATGCCCATGCCCATGCCCGTGCCCATGTAGGGAAACTGAGTCTCCAGTGACTCGTGGACAAGGGGCTGGGCAGGCTGGTGCTCACCTCGTCGCTGCCTCCCCCAGGCACAGCCAGCATCCAGCGCTGCTGGCCCCGGGCCAGGATGGAGCCCCTGCAGAAGCCCACGCTCTCCAGGCCCACGGAGTCCACGACGGCGTTTCTGCCCTCCGCCAGGTCCCACAGGCACAGCTTTCAGGTCTCGGCCCTGACTGCCAAAACCAAGGAGAGACAGGCCGTGAGCCTCCCAGGTGAGCGGTCTGCACGTCCCACCTGGACAAATGCCGGCGTGCTGTGGCCAACCGGAGGCTGAAGGAAGGCAGCGGCCTTGCCAGAGGGGACCTCGGCTACCGCCAGATCATCGGCTGGGGAGCCCTGGTGTCCACAGGAGTCTGTGTCCAGACTGATATTCAAACGCCTGGGCATCTGGAGGACTAAGAATCACGCGGCACTCTGAAGGATGGGCTGACACTGAGGGAGACAGACGTGGCAGTGTCCTTAACACAAGGACGAGCCAGCGCCTAATGCAAGACAGACATGCTCACACACGGAGGGCATCTGACTCACGGTCAAGATGGCAGCCATGCCGTAAGCGAGGACCGGCCTGCTTTTAAGTAGCTTTTTATTCTGAATTTGTTTCGAACTCACAGATCAGTTGTGAGAACAGCAGGAAGACCTTCCACACCTCCTTCACCCGCCGCCTAATTGCTAACGCTGCACACATTCTGTCCTGGCCTGACGCCCGTCACCCCAGATAATCCTCACACAGGGACAGCCACACCCCGAGCTCCTTGGCCCAGGTGGCAGTGGGGGTGGGGCACGCACGGCACTGGGACGAGTGCAGCCTGTGCTCCCAAGCAGCCCAATGTGCTCGAACGTTCCATCTGTGGGTGCGGGATCCCCAGGAGGCCTGGCCGAGAGCCTTCGTCCATTTTACCTGCAGCAGGCCCTGGTGGACAACTCACACCTCCATCCACAGTAGGACAGAAGTCACCTGGCTGCACACATCCAGGCACCACCACCGGAGAAGCCGCCCAGTGCACTGCAGCCACACGCGCCTTGGGGGATCCCACAGACAGAGCTGAGTGTAAAAGGCCAGATGCACAGGAAGCTGCTCTGGGTGACTCCACTTTTTAAAGTTAAGAACAACAACAAAAACAGACAAAATGGCCCTAACCGGTTTGGCTCAGTGGATAGAGTGCTGGCCTGCGGACTGAAGGGTCCCGGGTTCGATTCCGGTCAAGGGCATGTACCTTGGTTGCGGGCACACCCCCAGGAGGGGGCGTGCAGGAGGCAGCTGATCGATGTTACTCTCTCATCGATGTTTCTAACTCTCTATCCCTCTCCCTTCCTCTCTGTAAAAAAAAAAAAAAAAAAAAATCAATAAAATATATTTAAAAAAAAAAACACAGACAAAATGAGTCTTCGCCTTTTGGAGATGCATGTCCCGGTGGTAAACGCAAGTGAGGCATGAGGGCTGCCGCCCGGGGACAGGCAGGGAGCCGGGCTGCAGAGCTCCGCGTCCTGCTGGGGCGCTTACACAGGTGTCCACTCTGTGATAGCACAACAGTCTGCAAACTCGCTCTCTGCACTCTTCTGTGAGTACGCTACAGCTCACAATGAAAGAGGCAGGAAACATACCCGCACAGGTGTGTCCTCGAGCCTGTAGATGGGGCTGGGGGTGTCTGTGGAACTGCCCCTGGGCTCCCCGGAGCCCCTTGCACAGCCTGGCGAGGACCGGGGCCTCTGGCTCCTCACTTTCTGTCCTCCAGACTCTCCTCGACATGAAAGCTCACTTTCCTCCCTCAAGAGCCACTTTGGAGAGACTTGACTTCCAAACACAGCTGGGTGCACAGCCTGTAGTGCAACATAAACGCACCTGCGCATTCCGAGCACCTGCACGGTCTGCGCTGTAGACCTCCTCCCCCGCAGGCCCCTGCCTGGAGGGGGGCTGCCGCAGGGCCATCACGACTGGAAGAAGAGGTGCCATCCTTACAGGTTACACCAGCAGCTGTCCACCCCGCACCGCGTTGGCCCAGATCTCCGTGGCCTGAAGCCTCAGAGCAAGGCGTCAGGTGCCCGAGCACTCACGCCAGGGGTTCCGGAAGACAGCCCAAGGTGCCTGGGCCCTAGAGAGCAGGAGGCCCAGAGGGCCTACACCTCGGCTGGAAATTCTGCAGGAACATTTGTAAATGGCAGCTCCTGGTACACGTGACTTAGTGGGGTATTCAGACATGACACCTACTCTATTGTCAGGGAAAGACGGAGACTATGAGAACCTGTGTACCAAGTGCGGGCGGTGGCATCTGGGCCAGCCTGGCCAGGGAGACAAGGCACACACGTCCAGGGCCACAGCCTCCAGGACACCTCTGGGTCACCTTCAGCGTGGTGGGAGCCACAGGAGTCTGGCATAACCGTGCTTTGCAGACCAGTGGAGGCCAGCAGGCCTCATCCTCTGGGGACCAGCTCCACAGTGCACAGACAGATGTCCAGGCTGAAGCCCAGAGCAGGAGAACAGACCAGTCCTGGAGCGTAGGGGCAGAGCATCCAGGAGGCTGGCACTTTGATTTGGTAAATTCCTGGGCCGGGGCAGCAACACCTGAGCAGGGGCAGACGTCAGTGCGGCCTGAGACAGTGGCCAGCTCTGGCAGCCAAGTAGGTACCCGGCTCCCTGCACATCTCCTGGTCTGTGCCCTGCCCCTCCCGCTCCCCATGGGAAGAAGGGAAGCCCCTTCCAACTTGATTTCTCACCCATCTGCCCCTTCCTGTTGCCTCCTGGCCCATCCCTCACCTGCAGTCCCCAGTCTGTCACCTCCACATGGCCACGGTGGCAGTGCCAGAACAGAACCACTCCCCACTCCGCTGCTCAGCCTCCAGCCCCTCATGGCCCCTGTGACACTCCCAGCTGGGCCCACCACAGCCTCGGCAAACCCACTCTCCTCCACTGGGAGCGCCAGGCTGCCCTCACTCCTGCCACTTCCTGCTGAGCCCTCGCTAGCCAGCCCTGAGTGCCCGGACATGGGCACGCGTGTGGTGCTCCCAGTGCCCCTGGAGGCGGCCACACCGGGTTGTGGAGCGTCTCTCTGACCAGCCTGGTGAGCTTAGGCTCAGGCTCTGAGGGCTGCCCTGGCGACCCGTCTTCGCCACCTTGCAGGAAGGTGGCTGCATGGCCAGGGATACGGCCACCCAGGGCCTACAGGAGTAAAGCGAAGCTCCTCCAATGAGGGGCCTGGAGTTCAGCCTCGGGACCCCAGCTCCCACCACTGGGGAGCTGCAGCAGGCCCGGCAGGCTCTGCTCAGCCACTGGCGCTGGGACTATGGACAGAGCCGTCCTATATGGTCATGAGGCCCTTCTTAGTGAGCACCAGCCGGGACAGTACCCAGCACACCCCAGACGCACTGCCTCAGGATGGGCTGAGAGCAGGGGTCACCCCCTATTCTGCTGTTGGGGTGGGGCAGCTGAGTGGCTAGGGGAGGCTGCACCCCTGGCTCCTTCGGGACTGCCACTGAGACATACCTGAGGAGCTGCTGTCCCTGGGGCAGTGTCTGCAGCCAGATCACACACTGACCCCCGTGCCCGTCCAGGGTGGCGATCGCCCTCCGTGTCTGCAGGCTCCAGATGTGCACCAGCCCACTCAGGGACCTGTTCAGACGAGTGCAGGGCAGGGTCGGGAGGAGGTGGCGGAGGAGGTGGCCATGCCCAGCACGCTCCCCAGGGCCCGTCTGGTGGGCCAGGGTTCCAGCTGCCTGAGCCTTCAGTTTAGGTGACCGCTCTGAACAGGAACTAAGGGTAAAAGGGGCACATGCTCTTCTTCCAAGGGGGCCTCGAGGACCCCTCAGGCAGAGCCTGCCTCTCAGCAGAGGGAGGGAGGGCTGCCGTTGACAGTGCAAACTGGATGGCACCTGTAACAGGATGGGCGTGTGTCCCTGCCTCCCCCAAGGGGGTGAGGCCCAAGGGGACAGTATGTCGAGTGGCTCTAAAAGTGGGCCCGGGTGACAGGCAGCCTGAGCGGCTCAGCAGGACCCCCAAGCAAGCGCCAGGCTCATTGCTGGCCCCGCAAACTTCACTCTGGGCTCGCCCCCGGGGGCGGCCAGCAGCAGCTACTCACCCTGAGAGGAGAAGCTGGTGCCCCTGCTCCTGGGCTCCTCCCCAGAAATGCAGCGCATGCACCGCCGACTGGGTGCCCCGGAGGACAAACTGGGGGTCTGGTGGGGCCGCCATGCTGGGCGGGGCTGCAGCCACCTGGGGACCGAGGGAGGGCAAGTGAGTGACCCACCTGTCCCCCTTCAGAAAGGCAGTGGGAGGCCTCCCTGGATGCTGCCCATCCGTCTTCCATCTGCTATGGCCTCTGCACCCAAGTGGAACCACCCTAGATCCAACACGGGCACAGCAGTGGCCACAGCCTCCTTCAGCCACACTTGCCCGGCACAGGGCCCTCCGCTGGTCTCCAGGAACTCCAGTCCACACCAGCTACACCTTCTGGCTGCCTGGCCCCCACTGGCCACTGTAGCGCCGTCCCACTCGGGCCAGGCAGGTCCTCCTCGCCCAGGCTGCGGAGGGGCCGCCCGGACTCCAGGCCTGGCTGAGTCCTGCTTCTGACCAGGCCTCACTCCAGTTTCTCCCTCAGGGAGCCCCCCCCCAACCGGCCCTCCCAGAGAATTCAGCAAGTGCGAGGGCCCTGGGTGCCAAACGGTGAGCGGGACCAGAAGGTGGGGAGGAACCACGTCCTCTGCGTCTGCGCTGCAAATGCTGCCGCTGGGTCCCGGGCCTGAACACCCACAGCTGCTCATTGCCGCTGCCATCCTTCAAGCAGGCAGCACCCTTTACTGCCGGGGAGGGAACGGCTTCATGAGGGGCCCTGGGAGCCTGAGGCCCAGGCCTGCCCGCAGCCAGAAGGCGCAGAGGGGCCAGCGGAGCAGCGTGCGGGCGGGCGGTGTGTGAACCACCTTGCCCCTACCCAGGAGGCTGCTATCACAGATGAGAGGCCCTTCCTCATGTCACTGGTCCTGAGTTTAAGGCCTGTGGGGCCCACTCACCCCAAAGGAGAATCCACCCAGTGTCCCCACTGAGCCTCCCCCAGTCACTCAATCCTGCAGAGTCCCTGGGAGCCTGTGTCCTCTCATGCCACCTCAGTCCCACAGGCAGCAAGGGACTCAACAGTGCAGGGGTGGCCACTCTCAATAGGTGTGGGGGGGGCGGGGGGGCCAAGGGGGCAGAACCAGAAGTGACGTGCTCCAACCGTCAGGGGACACATCTGTCTGCCCGCAGGCCCGGCTGGGCTGAGGATGCGAGGCTCTGGGACAGTTCCCAACCCACCCACCTCCAGCCTGCACACAGGGCAGGAAGCGGCCACGTGCCCAACCACTATGGCAGCCACGGTCACCCGAGGAACCGGACTAGAAGGCTTCCTCCGGGAAGAAGCCTTGGCCAGGAGGTTGATGCCAGGGCTTGGAGGGGTTCCAGGCCTAGGACAGAGGCCGAGGAGGGGCTGCAGGCTGGGCACATGCACGGGCAGCAGAGGCAGGAGAGGTGTGGGCGCTGGTCCAGGCCACTTCAGCCGTGCCCTCAACCACCAAGCCCTGCACCTCCTCTCCTTAAAAGCATCCCAGGCCCTTTCCTTCTGGTCTAGCTTCAGAAGAGAGCAGGAGCAGTGTGACTGGAAAACACCTAAGAAATGCCACTGTTGAAGCAGCTGGGGACCCCAGGGGACTCTAGGTCACCCGAGAGCAGAGGGTGAGCAGCAGCCAGAGCCTGGAGACCACAGGGCCTGTGCAGGAGAGTGGGGAGCACCAGGACACAGAGACCGGTGGTAGGCCACTGCCGGCGCCCAGGCCCCCTGAGGTCTGGCTACCATGAAGCAAGTGCAAGTAGGGTTGGGTCCTAGACCCTAAAAGACCAGAGCGATGCTACAGAGCCAGGCCCAGGAAGGGGTGGCCCCAGCCTCTGGCCCCAGGGCAGATAGCCACCCTGACTGGCCACTCTACCACTAGATCACGGGGTTTCAAAGAGAAGGCGGGGTTCCCTGGGAACATGCTTTACAAATGGCCAAGTGTGTATCTGTTTCTCTCCCTCTAAATTTCCCCCCCCTTTGACTAAAGGCCAATGGACTCTTCTCAAACACAAGAACAGCCTCCAGCCGGGAGCAAAGGGACCCAATCCCATAACCTCATCTGCTCACAACCCGCGGCCTCTGCTCTGGATGGGACAGGTAAACCACCTAAGATGCTGCCAGGCCAGGGCTGCAAACCCTGCAGGGCTATCCTGGGCAGGCTGACTGGGTGGACAGGTTCCGAGGAACAGCTGTTGGGCCCTCAGAAAGCACTGCTTGTCTGGGCTGTGCCTACCCCATAAGAACAGCTGGTCAGCAGCCGGCACAGGGTTGCTGGGCCCCAGGTTTGGAGAAACCCAAGAATGCAGAGCCTGCTCAAGCACCTCAACCCAGCAGAAAAGCCCCAATTCAGGATGGGGAGGCACCCCACCACTTAGTCCAAGCCACAGAGTCCAACAGGCCACCTTTGCAGGCTCCCACTGTGCAGTCCTGACATGTACACTCCCACCTGGTTCATGCTCACATATACACGCACAGGTGCTCACACACACACACCTACACATATGCATGCACATGCTCATGGACACACACAGGCATGTGCTTACATGCATGCACACACACATACACATGCTGTGCCAGCTGAAGCCCAGCCCACACTTGCCACCTGCCTGGGGCCAGAAAGGAGTTTCCAGAACCTCACCAGCACAAGGCTCGCTCTGAGGTGATGAAATCAAGTTCTCCTCTATTGTTTCCCCAGCAGTTCAGGGAACAAACCCGTCACGTTGTTACAACAACCAAACGCTCAGGCCAAAATGATGCATCGGCAATTAAGGGCTCCATCATTTCAAGCAATTAAAATAAATGCTTTATTTGAAAACTAATTAATTCTAGCTACATATTTTTCCCATGACAATATCCTATGATTACTTGATTTATGACATCTAATTATTCTTTATTAATCTAATTGAGAATAATCGCATTATCCTATCTCCCCTGGCACCAGCGGCCCCGAGCGGAGGCCGCAGCCCTTGCGCAAGGCTGATGTGCGATATGGCCACCGCCGCTGCCTCCGTTCCCTGTTCTATCAGTTGTCTCTCCCTCCCGGAGGGCAAAGGAACATGAAACTTAATCCACCGAGCACAACGTCGGATTCTGCCTGCTCTTCAAGATGTCAAAGCGAGACACACATTCTTTTAAAAATTAAAAAGAAAGACAATCTGACACAATTTGCACAACTCTGACAGCCTTTCCAACTGATGCTACAAATGCCCCCCAAAGCCCTGCAGGCCCTCAGCCCACAGACGAACAATGACAGCGTCCCCTTGTGTCCCCACAGTGGCAACAGCCTGGCAGGCTTATCTCCAGGAGAGGGGAAGGGAGCCTGTCCCCAGGCGTGGGGAGCAGTGGGTGGCTGAGCCGAACCCAGCACTCACCCTCCCACTGAGGTCACCTGCCTTGGGCAGGCCCAGCAGCCACAGGGGTTCACGGACGCCCCTCATGGTGGAGGCAGGAGCATGTAGCCCACCAACCGGGTGCTGCTGGAAACCTGCCCCAGCCCCGGGGGCTGCATCAGCAGGCAGAACCCATGCAACTCAAGAGGCAGAGGAAGAGGGGCTAGAGGAGGGGCTGGTGCCCGGAGACCACAGGTCCCACCTGACGTTCTTGGGCTACTGGGGGTTCCTAACTCTGTGTACCCCGTGGTCTGATCCACCAATAGATTGCAGGACTGCCTTGGGCACCTGCCCTACACTCAGTCATGGGGCCCTTTCCTTTTATTGCAATAGAACCACTGTTCCGTGAAGAAGCCTGGAAATCAAGAAAGAACACCACAAGTGAGCCAACGTGGAGGAGCCACCATCCGGAGATGCTGGGCATTGCCCCAGCCCACTGGGTCCTGCCTCGCAGCCTGTGTGTGCGTGAGAGGGCAAGGGCAGGCAGAATGGGATCTGGAAGTAGCTCAAACAGGAACCCCACGCCCACATGAGTGGCAGACAAGGGCACAGAACCTTTAGCAGGCCCTAAGACCCTGAGCGTTCCATAGCCAGCTCGGACTAGGGAGGCACCGCTTTCTAGCAGTATGAATGTCCCAAATGGCCCTCTCTGCAATAAAGCAAATTAAAATGCTGATAACATTAAAAAACAAAATCGTCAATACATCACTAAGTTGTTTTCCAAAAAGTCTGGAACCTTCAGAGGCCAAACACTAAGTAAAAGTCAAATCTAATGAGGTCTGTGGAGCCTGCAGCTGGCTCCTGCCCTGAGGGCATTTGCTGTACCAGTGACCTAGAGTTTGAGCTCTCAAGGCCTCCGGGCCCACGAAAGACAAAACTCCCAAGGTTAGTTATGTGAAAGGAGCATCCGCATAAAGATGAGACCCCACAGGGCAATATTCTCAGTGTTAGACTGAAACAGAACTAAAGCTGCACCCAGAGGTGCCAGGACAAAGCCAGCCCTCAGGGTTCAACCCTAATTCACACCACCTTGGGAGGTCCTCAAAACTTCAGTCTGTGAAGTTTCTCAGAAGGAGCCCACCTTCAACTCAGACCTCAATAAACTCATAGACACAGCCCTACAAAATGCAGGCTTATAGTCAAAACTCATAAAAATAGCCCTAGCCCGTTTGGCTCAGTGGATAGAGCATCAGCAATGGGGACTGAATCGTCCCGGGTTCGATTCCAGTCAGGAACACATGCCCGGGTTGTGGCTTGATCCCCAGTAGGGGGCGTACAGGAGGCAGCCAATCAATGATTCTCTCTCATCACTGATGTTTCTAATCTCTCTCTCCCTGTCCCTTCCTCTCTGAAATTAATAAATGTATATTTAAAAAAAACAACTAATAAAAATAAATAAGGAAACATGGCACCATGAGTGAGAGCCAACAGAAACAACAGGAAGCAGAACTAGACCCCCCCAGAGCAAAGCATTCAGGTATATTTAAAATAAGACTGCTTAATGGTTTAAAAAAAAAAAAGAAGGAGCTAAAACTACAAGTACAGAGCAAGAGACTATAAGAACCACCAATCAGATTTGAAAAAGGACCCAACTGGGTAAAAAAGTAGTTGGGGAACAGGTGATTTGCATAGTGCCAAGGTATTACTCTTCTGGTTATTAACTAATCACAAAAGGAAAAGATTCCTTTACAATGGAGACATCTGGCTCTCACCACCTTCACCATCTGATCAAAACTGG